CTGACTGCGCTTCAAGCCAAGGTCCATTACCTGAGATACCTGAGCGAACTCAAACTGTACGGGGGAAGAGAGTTTAGATCAATACTTCTGGTGAGGGGAGACTTTTTACTCCATTTACTTGATCAATATGTTTAAAGGTCCGGTATTACGTAAAACTGACTCTGGTGAGGTTTAAAGAAGACGCACTGTGCTCGTGTTTGTGTTACGGTAATAATCTGCGAATCAGCTTTTTGAAAGTGGGTGGGTTATGTTTAGTCCTGGTTTAGTCAAGATTTAGTCCTCATGGTTTAGTCACAGTTTAGTCCTGGTTTAGTCAGTCATGGTTTAGTCTTAGTCCTGGTTTAGTTACGGTTTAGTCAGAGTTTAGCCTCTGGTTTAGATCTGTTTAAGTCACAGTTTAGTCTTGGTTTAATCCTGGTTTAGTCCTGGTTTAGTCCTGGGTTAGACCTGGTTAAGTCACAATTTAGTCATGATTTAGTCACAATTTAGTTCTGGTTTAGTCCTGATTTAGGCCTCATTGTTCAGTCACAGTTTAGTCCTGGCTTAGTTCTGCTTTAGTCCTCATGGTTTAGTCTTGGTTTTGTCCTGGGTTAGTCTTGGTTTAGCCCTAGTTTAATCTTGATTTAGTCCTGGTTTAGTCCTGGTTTAGACGTGGTTTACTCCTTATGGTTTAGTCACAGTTTAGTCCTTGTTTAGTCCTGCTTTAGTCCTCATGGTTTAGTCTTGGTTTAGTCCTGATTTAATCCTGGTTTAGTCCTGATTTAGTCCTGATTTAGTCATAGTTTAGTCACAATATAGTCCTGGTTTAGCCCTAGTTTAGTCACAATTTAGTCCTGGTTTAGTCCTGGTTTGGTCCTGGCTTAGTCCTGGTTTAGTCGTGGTTAAGTCACAGTTTAGCCCTGGTTTAGTTCTGGTTTAGTCCTGGTTTAATCCTGATTTAGTCACAGTTTAGTCCTGGTTTCGGTCTTTGTTTAGTCCTGGTTCAGTTCCCGGTTTAGATTAAGCCACCTTAATTTACTGTAGCATCGACCTGCCCTGGTATAATCCTGGTTTAGTCTTGGTTTAGATCTTGCTTAGTCCTGGTTTAGTCCAAGAGAGTTTTCAATTTGACAGAAGAAGTCAGGGTTTGTGTGAATGAAACAAAACACAACTCCAAAACAAAACACAACATTATAACACACTTTAGATGAGAAAATAGCGCAATATCGGACCTTTTAACTAGTTTTAACGTTTTTATTTTTTAATTTTGCAGCAGGGGGAGAAGCAGACGGACGTGACGCTGCTGGTGGGTCCTCGCTACGGCATCAGTCACGTGATCAACGCCAGGACGAACTTGGTGGCGCTGTTGGCCGATTTCAGCCACGTGAACCGCATCGAGATCCTGACGGAGGACGAGACCAACGTGAGGCTGGAGCTGCACGTGCTGGACGTCAGGGTGAGGACGGGAGTGTGTCAAGAGTGTATAAAGGATTCTCTTGTTTTTAATTTTATATCTAAATGTATTTTTAATGTGTGTACTTCTTTATTCATCCAGGACTGGTTCAAATGTCGTCGCACTCAGAATCCATTTTCAGTCTTGTGATTCTGGTCTGAAAAACTTGAATTTATCAATCTAAATCAGGGGTGTCAAACTCAAATTTAAAACCCAAAATTCAAAACTGGGACTAAGTCGTGGGCCAAACTAAATATTTATTGAAAAATGTCAACAATTTCTCTTCTTTCGAGATATGTAATGTTAAACCTTTTCTTATCAAAATCAATGTTTAATCATAGTTTTGCTTAAACACTGAATCCAGAACAAGCTAAATATAAAATAAAAACAAAATTAATACATGTTTGATATGATCTCACGGGATAAATATAATTATATCGCGGGACAAATTTGGTCCTCAGTCTGACACTAAATAAAAGTCCTGCCCTAAAGAGAGGAGTTTTTGTTATTTTATTTATTGAAATTGCCCTGTTTTTGTTTACATTTAGTCCAGAAAGACCCACGATGAAGCCAACATGATGTCTTCATTCTCAAAACTGTCCTTTTCTACTATTTATTCATGTATTTATTTAGTTTATACTATTTATATTTTGACAAGAATTATAAAATTTGTATATATACTTTCCTTGCTGACCTATCAAAAGCCCCACACTGAAAACTGTATTTCAAAATGTATTTTTAAGGCTTATTTTTTATATCCATTTTTGAGAACACACTGATTCATTTTGAGAGAGAAAGAATAATCATGTACACTAAGATGTCTAAAATAACGGAGAATTATCCAGTGTGCACAATAGTAATAATAAACCAAGAGTAGTAAGTAGAGGTGTGCAAAAATATTGAAATATCAAAATATCGTGTCAGTTAATGTGATGATACAGTATCAATATCGTGGGCTGCTGTATCGATATATCGCCAAGAGTATTTTTTGGTGTATTTTACTAAATTATTTTGTTATAATGATACAGTTTTGTCGCTTATTTAGAGGAAGGAAACTCGTTTATGTGACAAATTTGACTTTTGCACTGTTTTGATGATTAAAATGTTTGTGTTTCATATGAACTTTGCACAAGAAGTGGTTTAACAAAGACTTTTTATATCACAGACATGATTTAGCCTTTGTTTTTTATTGAATTGTATCGAATCGAAAGCTCACTGTATCGAGATATGTATCGTATCGTGGCCCATGTATCGTATCGGCAACTTCTTAATAATACCCAGCCTTAGTATCAAGCAGTAACTCATGCTTTTTTTTTTAATATATTTGACTTTTTTAAGACTCTCTTTGAATTTTGAATTTAATTTTGACCCCCTGCGAATGCTGTATTCTTTTCTTTTGTGTATTAAAGGACACGGAAACACATTTTAAACACTCACAAGAGAAAATTTTAATGTCTTGTGAACTTTTTCTCTTTCTTAATTATCCTTAAAGCCATAACCCTGATCAGACAATATCCAAAACAATAATATTTAAAATGTGAAAGTAGAATTCACCATCACATCTCTTCTTATTTGTGTGTTTTTTGTTCTTCAGCCCATCACTCTGATCATGGAGTCCAGTGACGCGATGAACCTGGCCTGTCTCACCGCGGGGTACTATCGCCTCCTGGTGGACGCCCGCAGATCCATCTTCAGTATGTCCCACTGCAACAGCACCGGAGACGAGACCAGTGAGTCATTTTGTGGTTTAACTGATTCATAATAACTTTGGTATAGTTTTTTTTTTTTTTTTGTTTAATCATTTCTGCAGTTCTTTTAAATGTCAATACAGGAGACATAACAATTCTTTTCTTTTGTTAACAATTTCCTCAGTGATTCAGTTCATTTCAAGTCAAGTTTATTTCTGTAGCACATTTAAAACAACTGCAGCTGACCACAGTGCTTCACATACAAGTCAACAAAACAGAAGAAACAGTTACACACACATATGTACAGATAACAAGTGAAAACTACAATAAAAACACCAAGATAATGTGACTCGCTCGTACTAAATGCCAGGGAGAAGAGGTGAGTTTTCAGTTTAGTAGAGTTACAGACTGAGAGGATCTGACAGGAAGAGGAAGGTTGTTCCACAGTCCGGGCGCTGCCACAGAAAAGCCTCTGTCACCTCTCGTCTTGAGCCGAGTTTTGAGCACGACCAACTGGAGCTGGTCGGCTGATCTCAGGGCTCTGAACTGAATATAGGGCTGCAGTAATTCCTGGACTGGACCCATAGAGTGTAGATTAGGGATGGGCATGATTAATCGATTAATCGATAATTGATCATTAAGAATTTCATCGATTACGTTCATTTTAATCGACAAACCGAATGTAGGTTGCTGTGCGTAGCGTCACCAAACAGGGGTGTGTACATGTGTCTCTCTGCACTCAGAAGGAGCGAGCAAACACAAACAGTCGGTCAGTCTGCAACGCAAATGTGTATTTAACGATGACTTGTATAAGAAATTCCAGGCTTTCCGTTGCGTTCGGGACAAGTGTGAGTCCATGTGCACAGTGTATAAAGCAGCACATATGTTTCGGTGTCCAGTGGGAAAAAGTTTTGCCAGGTGAGAGTCGCGCAATGTCGATGACGAGGACCCACCTCCCTCCCCCCGTACGGTGTCCTGGTTTTGACAAACACAAATCTTGTCACACTAACCTGTATTCACCTGAATCATGTCTTTTAATCCAACAGAAATTGAACCACATCAGTGACACAAGAGCTGTAGTTTTATCTTCGCTTAGTTTCTGCAAATTAGTGATGCAGTTTTAAGTTTTGTTTCTGTGAGAGTTGAACAAAACGGAATTAAACACATTATAATGTCAAACGGGCTGATGTGGCTCTAGAGTCGTTACAGTTTATATGTCGTAAAGTTGAATTTATTTATGCAGATTAGTAGTGCGGATAGTAATAATAATGATGATCATTTTAATATAAACACGTTAATGATTAATCGATAATCGATCGTTAATTCTTCCGACGATCGATTAAGAAAATTTCATCGAATGCCCATCCCTAGTGCAGATATTTGAAAACAATTAATGACATTTTAAATTGCAGCCTATATGAGACAGAGCCAGTGCAGGTCACACAGAACAGGTGTGATGTGTTTACGTTTCTTAGTATTTGTCAGCAGCAGCAGCAATTTAAATTTAACAATTGATAATCTACAAATAATATGAATCTTACTGGAGTACTACAGTTTAACCCAAATTTTCCTAATTAAGTCTTCATTGTGTCCACTTTTAACCAAAATGTGTTGAAACGCTACTGCTTGTCTCCAGGGAGATATGTATTGCTTTGCCTGTTCCACAATCATAGCCTGATTCATCAACCGGTTTCACTTTGTGGAAACTGTCCTACCTCGCAGCGTTAGGATTCATTTGCTTGACAGTAAGCGCTGCAGGTACTTTTTTTATTTAACCAATCGCTGCTATTTAGTCGTGATGTATGTAATGTGCCAAATCCAGTGGGAAGAAGGGCAATAACGTCTTTTCCCTTGATAAAATTCACCAAACATTTTCTTTATTCCGGCTTTAAATCCTCGATCTCGGGAATCATTGCCAACACAGAATGTCTGTCTTCATCTACATTCATCTCGACACTTTGTTTACTGTTGTGCTGTACCACAAAAGGGACCCAGACAGGCGCTTGAGTTTGACATCATTGCTTCACAACTCTTTGCTGATTGGACGAGGCGGTCTACAACTTCTGGGGCTCTTGCAAACCGTCTAGTGTATTCCGATTCCTGACCTAGTCGCTGGAGAGAAATGAAATTGAGCGGAGCCTGGCTATCACAATCTGGTGTTAAACTTTAAAAAAAACAAAAAAAAAAACTTTAAAAATATACATTCCTAAGCGGGGTTCACTTCTCCACAGATCTGACCTGCAACTTGGCCTGGAGTCCAAATTTAATATCATACAGTGGAACATTCCAGGCAAAACAGTAATATCTACCTAGCAACCTTGCATTACACTATTCCAAAACTCCACAAATGTTCACACAAAATATTATTTGATAAATGCAAATGTATGAAAACACCTTTTGTTTTGTTAATGTTCATGTTTAAAAGGTCAGAAAACAACACTTTTTTCATTTTTCCTTCACAAAACTGCTACTTGATGGACGTAAATTAAATTATCGTAACTTTTCTAATATATTTTGTGTGCGCAGGTCCAGATCGAGTCCTGGAGTGGCCGTACAGCACCTCACTGGGCGAAAACGAGGAGCAAACTTCGAACCAAGACGAGATTTACAACCGCGACTATCCCGACGACATCCACAGACACGACAGCGTCCAAACGTACCCGAACCAGGACCCCCCGGAACGAGACAGAGGGGCAAACCGAAGCCCGCTACCCCCTCCTCTGCCTCCGTCGACCCGCCACAAACCGCAAGACTCACCCCGAAGCGCGAAAGTTTCATTTATTTTCGGAGGAGACCCACCTTTGAGTAAAAATCGAGGGTACGAAAGACTTGTAGAAAGCCCAGATATTCCGGATAGATCTACAAACTACATGCACAACAGCACAGATCGAATGCCGTATCACTACACGCACGTTTACAGTAATATTATAAGCGAAGAAGGCGGAGAGGAGCCTTTGCTGAACGAATTGCTCTACGCCGATACAACGGACGACGCCGAGGACGAGGACGAGGACTGCGATGAAGATTCGGCAGGCGGGACCCCGATGAGCGACGAGAACAAACCCCTAAACTACAACCAAGACGACGGGCCTCCCACCGCCGCCAGCAAAGCCACGTTTCTGACCTGCTCCGGCTCCACGGACGACATCATCGACTTGACCTCGCTGCCGCCACCGGAGGGCGACGACGGCGTGGACGAGGAGGACGACGACACGCTGCTGGAGACGCTGAACCTGGCCATAGCGGCGCCCCCTCCCGGTTTCAGAGACAACAGCTCGGACGAGGACACGGAAGGGAGGATGCTGAGCGTGGAGGAAAGCGACGATATTCCGGTGTCGCTGATCGACGCGGTGCAGACTCACGAGGAGGAGGAGGGGAGGGCGGCGGACAGGGGGAGGGACAGCGCCGTGGTGGAGACGCTTCAGGCCATAGAGGCGCTGTCGGTGTCCGAGCACAGACCGCCGCCGCCGCCTCCTCCTCCGCCGGGCTGCAGCAACACAGGTGGGCGATCTTTCAATGAATCAACGACTGCAGAAAAATCGTGATAATTAGACTTAGACTTAGACCAGTGTTTCACAAACTTCTTTTCTGGGGACCCATATTTTAAAAGTCACAAACCTTCGCGACATTATTCATAAATCACAAAATAAAGGTGGATTTGACCGTTATTGAACATTACTGAGGACATTTTATTGTTGTTGAGTCTGAACAATTAGTGTTACTCAAATTTTAAACTATGAAGCAGCAATAAAAGGATCGATAAGTCGCCTCTTAGGACATTAAATGTGGCCCATTTCTTTTTCTTTTCAATATTCAATTGAACCAGCAACATTATAAGAAAATAAATAAAGAAATAAAATAATAAAAAAATATATATCAGAAATTATACAAGTTAAGTATTTTAAAAAGCTCTATACAAGTGTTATGTATTATTATCATTATTATTATTATTATTAGTAGTAGTAGTAGTAGTCGTAGTAGTAGTAGAAGTGGTAGTATTAGTAGTAACTAAAGTAATTCACTTCATTGAATTAGAGCACGAGTATTTATACGCAGTGGCAGAGTGAATATACACAAAGTTTAGCTGTTGTAGTATTAGTATTGGTATTAGTATTAATATTAGTATTAGTATTAGTATTAGTATTGGTATTAAACATGTCTTAACATTTCAACCTACATGCAGTCTTTGGGAAACAATGATTTAGACAAACTTTATTGATCCAGAATAATTTTGTTGGACACAGTAACTCACGCATCACAATATAATATAATAACAAAGAGTAAAAAATATATTTTTTTAAATGGTAATAATACTTCTAAATAAGTGGCAATAAAAAATAGTAAGAGGCACATGTCAATAAACCATAAATTATATAAATGTATGTGTAAAAGTGAAGTAAAAAGCAGAAATATAATAATATAAATACAGTATAGCACAGTTATATTCAAGAGGTTGTAAGACAAAACACTGTTAAGATGATAACACAAGCTTATCTGTTACATAAAGGTGACTTGTTGTACAGCTGTAGGGACTATTATCTGTTACGTAAGGGTGTAGGGAGTATTATAGTATGAATGTAGTCCTGTATCTCTCACTGTTCGAGCGGAGCTTTAGGAGCCTGTAGGAGAATGAGCTCTGTGCCTCTATAAATTCTACTATATTGAGTCAATTAATTGGGTGGATATAAATGTACTAACTACATAAATTGGAATAAAATAAATGTTCCCTATTGTTACTATCAAGAGGATCACATTAAAAGTATTATGCCTGCGTCAGGTACAATTTCTAAAAGTGGCACGATGCAAAAAGTTGCATAAAAACTGTAATTCCAAAGCGATTTTTAGTTATTTGAATATTTAAATAATATAAATGTAATCACTAATTGGGCAATCATTATAGCTGAATAATAAAATAAAAAACAATTCAGTAATCAGTTATTGTTATGGATTTAATCAAGACTCTTAGAGAGGTTTCGTATATGTTTGAGAAAGACAAAGCCATTATTAAATACAAATGTGACAAGATTAAAAAAAAAAAAAAATAAATCTAATATTTCGCTATTTTCTGAGCTCCGTTATAATGTTGTCTCCAAAAAGTAAAAAGTAGTTATTAACTTGAAAACCCCCGCTTCATGACATCTCAAAGTTGAACAGAGGAAGTATTTTGAGCTTCGGAAATGTAGACAGACTAAAAATAAACTTACTCAAACATGTGCGAATGAAACAAAACACAACTCCAGATATGTTTTTGATGAGGTAACAACATTATAACGTGACTTAAAGCTCACAAGAGACAATTTTGCGTAGTGTAGCAGCTTTAAATTTGGTTAAAAAGGCCCAAAATAATCCACTATTAAAGCAAATTAGTCACAGTTTCAGAATAGCTCAGAAATATAAACTTTCCAGACGAGTAAAAACACATTTAGCTTATATTTATTCTTTTCTTTTAGGTCCTTACTCCCAAGGCTTTAGCCCTCAGTCGTCCTCAGACTCTGGCAATGAAACCAACTCTTCGGAGATGACAGAGCTCAATGACCTGGCGTCTCACAGGCTCTTGGTGGCCACTCGCGAGGGATATCAGCCTTTACTTGAGGAGAAAACTGAATTCCCTGTCTCCCCATCCACAGGCGGAGGAGGTCCCAGCACGCAGACGAAACCAGCCAGGCACCACCACCACCACCACCAAGCCCCGGCCGTTCCCCCAAGACGAAGCCCCTTTCTCGACGCCCCCGGTTCTGGTTTTGACAGCTTCGACGGGAGGCCACCGAGCCATATGTCCGCGACGCTGCAAAGGCCGAGCTCGACCACGCCCGGGGGGAAGCACCACCGTAAATCCGCAGACTCCGGCGGGAAATACAACACGTTCAGCACAAGGGATGGTTTTCGAAGCGGTAGCCATTTCGATCTCGACCAGCGCACTTCGTTTTGCGACCGACGGGAGCTGCAAAGAAGACAGAACTCATTCGTAGCGGAGAATCTAACTTCGGAAGACAACATCAGACCAACTCGCCCAACGTCGTCGACTTGCGAAAGACTTTTAGAAATCGAAAACGCGGACGGTAGAGCCACAAACGCAGAGCAAGACGAGCATTTAGTCGTGGCTTCGTTGCTATCTCCGAGCAAAAAGGCGAGATCGGGCGGGGTTGAGCAAAGTTCGGATTCGCCGATGGAGCACCCGCCTATGTCCAGACAGCAAAGCGTGGCCCGATTGTGCGAGTACCATTTAGCAAAACGGATTTCAAACTTACAAGGAGAAGCGCACAGTTCGTTGCAAGGGTCTTTATGCTCATCGTTGGACGCCGGCGGAAGCACAAACAGCAGCAGCGTCACGCCAACCGACTCTCCGCTCGGACCTGCGCAGGTCGACTCGAAACACCCGCACCATCACCACAACCCGAGGCACCCGCTCTCCAGCTCGTCTTCCTCGCTTCTTCGGGTGCTAAACTACGACGACAAAGCTGGTTTTCCCGGGCAGGTTAAAGACATGCACCCTCACGCCGACCCGAACTTGTTGAGGAAAATGCTGCCCAATATCCACGGAGCTGGGGACGGGCGTTGCGCATCGACTCCGCCCAAACATGCGGCAAGCAAGAAGCTCTACAACGATCTGCACGCTAAACAGGCGATGTTAAAGAACGCGAAAGAAGGCAGCGAGGCGTATAGGCAGCTAATAAACTATCTAACTGTGAGTCAAATGCATCAAGGCGGGAAACTACATGGCGCAGGAGGGGCCAAAAAGGAAGGGAAACGCTACATAACGAGCAATCCACAGTTGGTCGAAATGGTTAGGAACAGAGCTAATCCGAACGCGCGTTGCCAGTGTATCCCGGCGTCAGTATCGTCGCCGTTTCTAAGCCCGGGGAATTCAAACCAAGCTTTGCAAATGGCGAATAAAAACCCACGGGCGTTTCATTCGGCGACGCTTCCGGCGAAACTCAACCGGAGTCCAGTCGTGCACGCGCAAAAACCGAGCGATAACATCGATTTGCGGCGATCCACGTCCGAAAGAAGGAGCTCGTTTTCGGGTTTGGAGAGCGAGCTGGAAAAAAGCGGGATAGATCCGGAAGCGTTTTTATCGGCGTATAAGAAGAACGGTTGCTTGAGTCCGAACGGCGGAACGAACAGACCTCCGCCGAGATCTAGAAGCCAACCAGGAGGGGGCGTCGGCGAGGAGTGGTTCAGGCAGGACGTTAAAGCGAAGCAAAGCAGCAGGTTATCCAGGCAAGGTGAGTCTTTGTGTAGCCAACAGGACGCGGTGAATACAATCGGAAGAGCGGATCACGCCTCTGCGTTCATGCGACAAGCTTCCGGTTCGAGATCTTGCCTGACGTTACCGAATCCGAACACGCAATGCCCTCCGCCGCCAGCTCCTCCTCCTTCTCAGCAAATCCAAGCGAATAATTTACTCCAACCGGGCCCCGTGCAAAACCACATATCTCCCGATCACTTCACGAGCAGCTTACAACGCGGAAGGGAGCTGAAACGCAGCACTAGCAACATCACCGCGAGTTCGGGGAGCGTCGAGGCGCTTTTCGAGAAACCCGTGCGGAGCCGTAGCCAGCAGCCCTTGACGGCGAACGTCCCGCAACAAAATGAGACGAAAGTGCAGCGCAGGCCGAGGAAACGGTTGTCCAAAAGCTACTCGCAAGGTTCGGTTTCGGCTTCGTCGCACACAACTTGCTGGTCGGGAGGCGGTAGTTTCGATTGCAGACGAGCTTCGGTCGCGTTCCCATTGCAAAAAGACGGTAAAAATATGAAGGGAGGGCAGAAGTTAGACACGAGTCCCTGGAGGTGCAACGGGCCTTTCAGCTACTGCTTCTTCAAACGTAAAAGCGAAGGCGAAGAGGACGACATCGAGTGGGAAAGACCAAGACGAAGCCGCGATTTTGATTCAGAAGGTGGCGCCGGCGTACCTGTCGGCGGCTCAAATCCGACCGGGGACCAGCTCTACGGCGAAGTTCTAAACAATATGAGTTTCAGCGACCGCTTATCGAGAATCAACGTCCTCAAAGATCGCATGTACGGGTTTCCGACGGGCTTCACAGACGTACGACGAGATGTGAACGAACTCATAGCGCTGGTCCGGTCGAGCGTCGGGCGTTGCGATCGCGGCGCGCAAATGCCGATTCAAGATATATCGCAATACAAGCAGCTGCTCTCCGTCGAATCGAAAGAACTGGGGCGCGCTTGCCGACGGATGGCGCAGGCGTACACCAGCCCCGAAGAAATGCTCTTGGCGGTGACATGTAGCTTCCAGGTGCTGTGCTGTCTGTGCGAAGCCTGCATGTGTCTCGTCAAGGGGCTCGGCGTCGCCAACTCCCACCAGCAGAGGGAGGTGGTGGCCAAAGTGGACGAGGTTGTGATGAATTATATCTGTTTGCTCAAAGCGGCGGAGGCGGCGACGGTGGGGGCGCCGGGCGAGCACAGTATGAAGGCGCTGGTGAGGCACACGAGCACGATGTCGGCGATCGCTAACGCCCTCACTCGCTCCCTTAAAACGCTGCTTAGCAAGTAGAGACTGAAAAAATAAATAAATACTGTACGATGTAGCCTAAGATGTTCGCTCGCTACTGTCTTTTAGCATCTTATAAACAAAATCACGATGAATGAAGGTTTATTTTTTATTTATCAGTACAGTAACTTGTTAAAATTCAATGTCAGAATAATAATAATTTAAAAAAAACAACTGGTCCCTGATAATTAAGAGCATTAATTAATATAACTAATTATATTTTGGATAATATTTCAAGTTTGTTGGTCTAAAATTTTGTATTTTTACTACAGGTGTGTTCACATTTGACTTGGTATGGTCCTGATTTAGTTCAGGTTTAGTCCTGTTTTAATCCTTTAGACTTGTCAAGATTTAGTTCCAGTTTAGTTCCAAATTTTGTCCTGATGTAGACATGGTTTGGTCCTTGTTTGAGTCTAGTTTAGTCCTGATGTAGACTTGGTTTGGTCCTGGTCTAGTTCTAATTTAGGCCTGGTCTAGTCCTGGTTTAAGAATGGTTTAGTCCTTTTATAGTCTTGGTCTATTTCTGGTTTAATCCTTTAGACTAGTCAAGATTTAGTCCCAGTTATGTCCCAATTTTGTTCTGATATAGACATGGTTTAGTCATGGTGTTGTCCTGGTCTAGTCCTGCTTCAGGCCTGGTATAGTCCTGGTCTAGTTCTGGTCTAGTCCTGGTTTAATCCTTTAGACTAGTCAAGATTTAGTCCCAGTTTAGTCTCAAATTTTGTCCTGATGTAGACTTGGTTTCATCCAGGTCTATTCGTGGTCTAGTCCTGGTTTAATCCTGGTTTAGTCCTGGTCTAGTCCAGGTCTAGTCCTGGTTTAGTCCTGGTTTAGTCCTGGTCTAGTCCTGGTCTAGTCCTGGTTTAATCCTTTAGACTAGTCAAGAGTTAGTCCCAGTTTAGTCCCAAAATTCCTCAAATTTGAGTCTAGTTTACTCCTGATGTAAACTTGGTTTGATCCTGGTCTAGTCCTAATTTAGACCTGGTTTAGTCCTAGTCTAATCCTGGTTTAGGCCTGGTCTAGTCCTGGTTCAATCCTTTAGACAAGTCAAGATTTAGTCCCAGTTAAATCCCAAGTTTAGCCCTCATATAGACACGGTTTAGTCCTGCTGTTGTCCTGGTTTAGTTCTGGTCTAGTCCTGGTTTAATCCTTTAGACTAGTCAAGATTTAGTCCCAGTTTAGTCTCAAATTTTGTCCTGATGTAGACTTGGTTTCATCCAGGTCTATTCGTGGTCTAGTCCTGGTTTAATCCTGGTTTAGTCCTGGTCTAGTCCAGGTCTAGTCCTGGTCTAGTCCTGGTTTAGTCCTGGTCTAGTCCTGGTTTAATCCTTTAGACTAGTCAAGAGTTAGTCCTAGTTTAGTCCCAAAATTCCTCAAATTTGAGTCTAGTTTACTCCTGATGTAAACTTGGTTTGATCCTGGTCTAGTCCTAATTTAGACCTGGTTTAGTCCTGCTGTAATCCTGGTTTAGTTCTGGTCTAGTCCTGGTTCAATCCTTTCAATCTAGTCAAGATTTAGTCCCAGTTTAGTCCCAGTTTTAGTCTTGAACACACTTTAATAATCGCTCCATCTCAGTTTTTTTGAAATATCTTGCTTCCATTAAAAATATCTTGTTATATCATAATAACTAAACTAAACAAAATTTTAACAGCTTTTGTGTTTAATTGTTTAAAAAAAAAAGTAGCTTTAATTCAATTTAATTCAGTTTTAAGGCCGATCTTTTTTCAAGCACTGGAGTTTTTTGTTAAGATGCTAAAAGACAGATTAATTAATACACTTGCTATTTCTGAAAACAATATTGCAATGTACATATTTATTTATAAAGCCATATAACACGTACACTGTAAAATATGAGCCCTTTTACCTGTGCATTATGTAACTTATTTGTATAGACGCACTGTAAATACAATAATATTATGAAATTATTATTATTATGATCATGTAGCAGTCTAAAGAGCCATGGAGTACTGTAAATATTTATCAAATGCAGTTTTACAAATATTGCTGTAAATGCTACTTATAGTAAAGAGATTATAGTGATAATTTAATAATAATTAGTCTATTTATTTATATTTTAATTAGTATTGTTAACTAGACCAGGCTTTACAAATGGAGACTTATACTGAAATGGTGAATACAGGGAATAATACGAAGCACTTTTCCCATTGTCATGTCATCGATATAAGTTTTGAAATGTTATAATTATTAAATATATGTAACTTGAGAATAAAGTGTAAAAAATTATGTCAGAAACGTAACAATATCACGGTTACTTTTAGAATTTTCACTGTGTTCAATGATTTTTTTTTTTGGAATATTATTATGCTTGAAGGATGAAAACACTGTATCACCAAATAGACATTTCTCTTAAAGGAAATTAATCCCTGTTTTTCAATAAAACGACATCGTGAAAGTTGTTTTGTATTTCGTTATTTTTAAATGTAAAGGCTAATTTCATTTTTTGTACAACGATTTTCCACATTCAAGGTTTTCAAAGCTGTTTACATCAAGGAACGACTCACCACCACCTGTGACTTGGCCTCGAGTCAAACTTGAGAGGACTTGAGATTTGACTTGATAAAATGGACAAAGACTTGGGACTCGACTTGGACTTGAAGGTCAGTGACTTGGGACTTGAATCGGACTTGAACCCAGTGACTTGAAAAGACTTAATGCTTAGATTAGTTAACAAATTAACTCTTTAAACACTCTTAACTCTTTCTGTTTTGACCGTAATAATTCACACTCAAGACATTTAAAAAGGAAAAATTTGCATTTCTACAACTCTTATATAAATATTCCTGATGTTTTAAGCACAATTTAGTTTAAAATTCATATAAATTGCAAAAATCTAAGCTATTTTACTATATATATTTTGGTTTAAAGACTTGAAATGACTTGAAGCTCAAAGCAGACGACTTGGACTTGACTTGGACTTATGGCCCAGTGACTTGAGACTTGGTCCCACGATTGTGACTCACCCTTTCACACACACGAAGGCCTTTTCATTCTCAGGTCTTGGTTCTCCACCTGCTTGTCTCCATGGAGATGTTATTGCTTTGCCTAGAATGTTTCACAGTATAGCATTAAACGTATATCTATAAGGCAGAGGTGGGACTAAGCCGTTGTTTTGCAAGTCTCAAGTCTTTGACCTCAAGTCCGAGTCAAGTCCCAAGTCAAATACAGCCAAGTCAAGTCTTGAGTCACTGGCCCATAAATCCAAGTCAAGTCCAAGTCCAAGCTTTGAACTTCAAGTCATTTCAAGTCTTTAAACCAAAATACCAAATAGAGCTGAGATTTTTGCAATTTATATGATTTTTTTGCTCCATTGCACTTAAAAAGTTACGGTATATTTATGTATGAGTATTTCTATAAGAGTTGTAGAAATGCAAATTGTCTTGTCTTAAGATCTTAGTGTGAATCATTACAGTCAGAATAGAAAGAATTCAGATTTAAAATTGCAAAATAGCTGTTATTTTGTCATGAAGGATCATGTTCTATGTAGTTCCCTCTGTTCTACTGCGTTGTACTGCATATTACTGTAGTACTTTTGAAGATACCACATCACAGTACTTCAGTTACAATCAAAGTAACAAACAGAAGTGGGAACGACATGTTCCAGTTTGTTCTGTAAAATTCAGCATCACATTAGTCGACTGTAAAGCCAAAGTATTTCTAAAAACATGTTTTTTAGGAAACGCATCAAGTCTTAGTCCATTTTATCAAGTCAAGTCTCAAGTCCTAAAAATAGTGACTCAAGTCTGACTCAGGTCCAAGTCACGACTTCCAAGTCCCACCTCTGCTATAAGGGACTAATATTTCTGTGGGGACTCTGAAGCGTTGCACAAAGAGCAAGAAAGAAAATAACTTTTAGATCAGCTTTACATCTTTACATTTTATTTGTTTATATTTATTTATATTTGTATTAGGCCTACAGAAATGTTCTTTTTAGCATATTATGTAAGGAGTAAATGCGACATATTCTTTTATATGTAGTGTAAAATATTATGAGAGGGCCCTGGATGATCTTTACATCGATAAAGGGCCATGGCACAGCAGACTTTGGAAACAGCTGAAGTGTTTAATAAAAAATAAGAAAAAATACATCTTCAATTTTGGTTATTTAGGGGAAAAAAAATGCATTGTATTTATTAAATAGTTCCACTTACTACTTGAACCAAACGCGATGAACATGGAGATTTAATTGTATAGGATTAAACTGATGACAACACTGACCTCTACTGGAAAAATTACGCCATAACAAATTAAAGAAACTTAGAAATAAAGTTATCAAAGATGCTTGTCTACATAACCAGCAACCTTTGGTTTATTATATAGCCTACACGTGCTTTTAAACTTAATGTGAACCATTTTAAAGATAATTTGGTGCAGTTTTGTTTGACGCAAAGGAGGCTGAGCTGTTTTGCATCTAAACAAATGCGTTTTCTTAAGCCTATTCACGTTTCCTTTCACATCCTCAATAAACCCCCCTTTTATGGTCTTTTGGGGGTCTGCACGTACCCCACGCGTCTACCCTTAGAAAAATCTGCGCATGCGTTCACTAAGTTCTTATTGAAACTGAAAGAAGACGTAGAAAAAGCGATTAAACTAAACAAAATGAGAAAATACGTCAACGTGATGTTAAGTTTTCGTGCGTAAAGCGACTTGCGCCCGGACTAGAAAACATCACAACATCTTAAAAATAGTTAAATATTGATTGAAATTAGCGATTTAAATCCCCCCAAGTACTTTTCCAACGAACCACGTGACTGCCTCATTTGCATATTGGGCGCCCTGTGTAGCACGTGTTTCGGGTTGGACCAATCGGAAGCGAGAAACTCCCACGTAACTCCGCCCGCGCGGTAACCACACCGCAGCGCGCTTCATCAATGCATTGTGCCCAGAAGCAGGGAGAAGACAAAAGTTTAGTTTGGACTCCTTTTTAGGCATTTTTGCGCGATTTGGTTCCGTGTTTACGCCAGTTTTGCGTTGCACTAATTCAGTTCAAAGCTACGAGTTCGTGCGTAAAAGTCGTGCGTAATTGGAAAGCTTGGAAACTGGACATCGCCGTTTTTGAAATTCACCACCGCGGGTTAAAGAGCCAACTGGGATTTAAACTTTTAGCCCTCTTAGCATCAAGTGGCTATTAGCAACTTGTTAGCTTTACTAATTATTGGTAAATAATGGCGGCTTTGTGCCAAACACGACGCGCGTTGGTGGAAATCCCTGCTCCACAACCTAAAATCGAGGGTAAGTTTATTTGGACACGCGCAAAACTTATTTAATTGACACAAATCTTTACATCCCGCGTAATACATTTGAATATATGGCGCCAGATTGCACACAAACGCCCCAATAATGCTAATTTCGCAAGCGTAAACTTCTAACTTCACTGCATATACTCACTAATACTTGTTTTTAAGGTGCATTTTTGACATTTTGTTGTTGAAATAGGTCGAATTAGGAGGTCTTATTTGGAAATACTCGGATCTCGTTTATCTCCAACACCAAGAGGCAGAAGCCCAACTGTCCCCAGGCGATTGCAATCATGTGAGTACAAAAAGTACCAGAAAAAAACACATTAAAGTGCAGTTTCATAAATTAAAATAATAATAAAGACGCTGAAGCTTGAAGTGGAAATGCTAAAAATTGCAAGGCACATTTTGAAATGAATCTTAAAATAATAGTAAAAACAAAACTTGGCTTGAGAACTTGGCCACAGAAACACGATTAAGTATTTATTCATTTTATAACTGGTAAATAAAAGTAGAAATACGTGGGTTAAAATGAAACAACTCAACAAAACAACAACAAACGACAAAAGAAATCAAGTATAAGTAACACAAAAAATGTAATTAAGCAAAAATACTGATATAATAAAATAAAAAGCAGATGGATTTTATGCAGATTTTGAGCATTACTAAAGCATAAAACCCACTTGACTGACTAAATTGCTTTCTTAATTTGACTTTTATATATTTTCAGACATAATATCACCTCAAATATGCTTAAAAATTAACTTCTCAGCTATTTCTAGTGCTGTATTTTTACTTTTTGTGCTTTAATTATGTTCTATTTCTGCTTTTAACTGTAATTACAAACACATAATTGTCAATATTTGTACTTTAAACTTATAGACTGACAATAAAATGACTTTCTAGTGTCTTTTCTGTGCTGTAAAGATATTGTTATAATATAAAATCCTGGTTTGACTCTGTTTTTGTTTCTTTATTGCAGTAGATCTGTGGAGTGGGAGGATCCAGGCTCAGTGTGACAAAATGGAGGAGCAGCACACACCTCTGTCAAAGCAGCAGCTCGTACAGCTCATCAGATCGCTCATTTTAGTCGAACAGGTGAACTTTTATTTTATTTTACTTCCAAAATCTTCTAAATATAAGCTCCTAGTTTTGTCAGTGTATCAGAATCATTAAAATCCCACAATGTGTTGCCTTGAATGACAGTAGAACAGTTTTACAGTTTTATTTTATTTCGTTCTAACTAGTTTATATCGCAAGGTTAAATATTTAACCGTTTTACACCACTCCTGAAACTTAAATTCCTTATAAAATCTCAAAATACTCCAGTTACAAGTCTCATCTTTTATGTCCAGTTACTTTTATTACTTTATTTCAACATTTTACTTTCACTTGTGCATTTACATTTGTATAATTATGACTTAAATGACACCAGTCTCTTGCTATTTCTGCTGCGTATTTTGAATCTTTTATTGCCATTTATATTTACCCTTTGTCTTTGTTATTATAAAATATTGGGATGTTTGGGATTCTGTGTTCAAATAATTTTCCTTGTGGGTCAATAGTTTAAGTTGTAAGATCTGTGGAAAGGCAATCCTGCTTTCAGTGAATTAAAGGCGACCGGGGCTAAGAGCCGCTAAGAAATAGTTTCAAAGAATTCTGTTTCTGGCTTGGTCCTGATCTAGGCTCGGTCCTGATCTAGGCTCGGTCCTGATCTAGGCTCGGTCCTGATCTAGGCTCGGTCCTGATCTAGGCTCGGTCCTGATCTAGGCTCGGTCCTGATCTAGGCTCGGTCCTGACCTAGGCTCGGTCCTGACCTAGGCTCGGTCCTGATCTAGGCTCGGTCCTGACCTAGGCTCGGTCCTGATCTAGGCTCGGTCCTGATCTTGACTTGGTGTATATTCTAAAGTTCTGATTGTTTTTGTATTTTTTTCTCTTTTTTTTTTTTTTTTGTCACAGAGTCAAGAGCCCAGAGTTTTAGCGTCCGACCTGAAGTTTCTCCAGGAGGACCTCCATCTGAAGAAGGCCAACGTTTACAGATCCATCCCGTACTCCAGACTGGGCTCCAACAGAGACGCACACTGCTTCAGGAAGGCCTACCCACACCTCGTCGCATTCAAAGTGAGTCTAGATGAAAATTTAGCTCTGTTGCCATAGCGATTAACAATTGAATACAAAAATATAGTTTCTGAATGATGAAAAAGTCGTCAAAATATGCTGCAAAAACCGATGAGTGTGACTATTTCTGTGAAAAGGAACTGTCACTTTACCCGCGTCTGGACCTCTTTAGGACCATGACTAGGACTAAAACCAGAAAGACAACCGGGGCTAGGACTAGAACCACGACTAGAACCACGACTAGAACCACGACTAGAACCACGACTAGAACCACGACTAGAACCAGGACTAGAACCAGGACTAGAACCAGGACTAGAACCAGGACTAGAACCAGGACTAGAACAGGACTAGAACAGGACTAGAACCACGACTAGAACCACGACTAGAACCACGACTAGGACTAGAACTAGAACTAGAATCACGACTAGAACTAGGACTAGAACCACGACTAGAACTAGGACTAGAATCACGACAATGACCCAGAACCCAGGACCACTTTCTCCTCAAATCGTCACATTAATTATTTCTGGTCTTATTTATCTGACCATCTTTCTTTGCCTTTTTTCTTCAGGTTTCTTGTCAGGAGTGGGGCCAGGTTTTGTTACGGAACCAGGAGTGGGACGTTGTTTTGGAGCACACGTTGTTGGCGTGGAGATTCACCAGCGAGTTGCCCCAGTGGGACACGGCGAGTCACAACGCTCTGAGAGAACAGTGCTTCAGTCTGTTGGCGTCACAGAGTCAGGCCGCTCTACAACACTACACTCCACCGACCAGCAGGGGGCGCGAGCTGCTCCGGAGGTATGTACACAAACACTGACACATACAAGGATTAATTTGATATTTATTTGGATAATATTTTTAGAGGAGTTTAATTGTTTAGAACTCATTACATTGTGAATTGTAGATGAAATGAGCTCATTTCTATGGCTAAAAGGCATTCTAATTACATTTTGGTTAACATTACCATTAAACGACTGTTTACTAGTGCAGTTTTTGTGTGTAAGGTAGGTTTATTTACCGTAAATTCCAGACTATAAGCCGCTACTTTTTTCTCACTTTGAAACCTGCGGCGAATATAAGGACAGATTCTTTGTTTGGCACATTGTCCATTCATATAAACCAGGGATGTCAAACATACGGCCCAGGGGCCAGATCCGGCCCTCCAAGACCTTTAATCTGGCCCTCAGCTGATTTTCTACTAAAATATTTTAATTATATTTTAAAAACTGAAGACAGAATTTGCAATTTTTCTCACACTGTTCAGTCAAAACTTCTGATGTGCCCGCAGACATGCAACTATAAGTAATAGATTTACAGTTACTACCTTTTGTGAGCAGGTTTTCTCAGTAATGAATATTAATAAAACAAAGATGCACTCGAAACTAACACACAAACACTTGAATGACATTCTGAAGACAGCAGCTACTCAGGACATGGTGTCTGATATTGATGCGCTTGTACAGGAAATAGAGAAATAGATAGTTGATGTTGAGATTTTGGCGACGGCGGCGTGACGAACTGACTCAACGCAAAAAGACGACAAAAACTTTCAGAGGCGGTAGAAGCAGACGGCCCGAACTTGAAAATGTTTTTGAAGATGTGGACGCCTGCCGCTTATATTCAGCTGCGGCCTATATATGTACAATTTTAAAGTTTTGTTCAAATTTACTAAGTGCGCTCAATAATCCGGATTTTACGGTAAATAAGTACTCCACAAGATCGCTCTGCTGCTTCAATGAAAGTAACCGAATGTAACCTGAGCTCTTACTGTTTTAAAAACGTATTAGAATCAGAAGTGAACCTGTGTCTCCAGAGCTTTAACCTGCAGAGAGACACATCCAAGTTTTAGTCTCATTCTCAGTTTATGGACAGAACCTCAGCAGCTCCAGAGGCTGCACTAGCACTGAATTATGACGGTGCAGGTGCTCGGGATTAAGTAGAGACCATTCAGATCAGAGAGACTTTTTATGTTTAAACACTGGATTTCAAAAATGTTTACATTGTTTTCATGATAATAACTTTGTTTTGAAAGAAATTATTGGCAAATTTGTTTTACTTTGTGCTCAACTTAAAGCTACATTTTTATTGAGTTTCTTGTGGCGGTCCTACTTAGTTTAAACTGTTTCCTCCTCAAAAACACACCTGCAGTTGTTGTTTAATTCACACACGTTTGAGCAAACCTTTTTTTTTACTCGTCTGTCTGCATCTCCAAAGCTCAAAATGCTCCGTTCCCACCTCGTGATGTCATGAAATGATAGAATAAACGGGCAATTCCAGGGTTCTGAAATGATCCAAACGATTCTAGTGAAGGTGTGTGGAGTTTAAAAACACAGTGGAGCACTTCCTGTACCACAAGACTCAGCCTAAATATGCAGGATTTGTGTATTTAAATGTTTGCGTATGAAACAAAACACAACTTAATATAAGATTGATCAGAAAATAGTGTAATATGACGCTTTATATTCAATACAACCTACACAAATCTTGTTCAATTGTTAGATCCTTGACCATTTTTAAGCTGCTTTTTTTGTTTATTTCAGATTCAAAATGGCGCAGCAGCACTCGCACGCCATCATGCCCTGCATTGAGACGCTGCAAAGGATTCTGGGAGAGGCCATGGACACGAAATGAACGAATAAATAAATAAATAAATGAATGACTTTATATAAGCTTTAACCAATCGAATAGCTCAACCTCGGCGGTGCGTGTGCGCTTGTAAATGGAATTATTACGATGTCGTGTGGGGCCGAAATGTTTTCAGTGAGCCGTAGTGACAGTATTGAGCCAAAAGGGGGCGCTGGAACGCAATAAGAGTCACAACATTGGTCTTTTAAAGAGCCTATATTACGCTTTTCTACACTTTTAATTCATGTTGTAATGTCGTTTTCTCAACAAAAACAGACCTGGAGTTGTGTTTTGTTTCATTCTCACATGTTTAACTCACAAATCTGGATATTTAGACCGAAACAAAACGCAACTCCAGGTCTGTTTGTGACGAGAAAACAACATTGTAACATGATTTAAAGCTCACAAGAGTCAAATTTGTGTAATATAGGACCTGCTCTCTACAGAAAACCTAAGCTTGTATTGTAGTTTTAGTGTTTTTGTACGTGTTGCTCTTTAGATTTGAAAGAAAATCTCCTGTGGATTGTAAATATTTTTGCCAATACTTGAATTCTTGCCTTTTTTGGTGTCGTTTTTGTTTTGTTTTTGTCTTGTTTACGTTGCTGTTGTTGCTGTTGTCCATGTCTGACCCTGAACACTTGAAGAGTTTTGATAAAATAGATTAATTTAAATAAAACCGTTTGCAATTTGTACATTTGTGCTTTTGTGTTTTTAAAATGTAAAAGTCTAGGTCAGAATCCTTTACAAGTTACTAATAATTAATGATTTTGAATAGTATTTTAGTTAAATAACCTTCCTTATAGCATTTTAATGAGAATATTGTACAGATGAAACCTAAAAAATCCACATTAATAGAAATGTACTTAATTTAATGTAGTGTTTAATGTTAATATAATGTCTCCCAGTTACCTGTTGCCATGGACATGTTATTGCATTGCCGAGAATGTCCCACAATATGGCATTAAATGTAAATACCCGTGTAGGCCAGGGAGTGACACCGTTAATCCTAAAGTACTGGTCAGATCTGAGGAAAAGCAAGCCCATACAGCGTGAGAATGCATGTTTTGTTTTTGTTTTTTTTACCACCTGGAACTGAATAAAACACAATATAATGCCATATTGCGGAACATTCAAAGCAGTAAAGCAAAAACGAGCAAGTGTTGGAACCTTCCATTTTTATTTTTGTTATGCCCCTCTGAAAATTCACTGTTACTTGCCTTTTTTTTTTAAACTTACTAACATTTTTTTTTGTTTAAGCGAAATTATCTGCTTATATTTTTTGTTTATGAATTGAAAACCTTCACAAAAAATCTAAAATACACGTTTGAAGTCTTTGCAGTTCCTCTTCCTGCCACAAGATGGAGCCAAAGCCACAGTTTTGTTCCATCACAGTGGGATTCCTCCAGTTGACAAGATCACTGCAGCAGAGCTATGGCAAGTCCAAGTCTGTAGGGTTTATTTGGGTTATGAACTCTGAATGAAGTGTTTTTTACGTTTTTTAAAATTTTATTTTGTCAGAAATTTTGATGGTGACGCACTAAAAGGAATTCTGATTTCACTTTTATTTGTCCTTGAGTCAAAAATTGGATTAACACTAAAACTGTAAAACGTCATAACGCTAATTTAACCTCACTTTTGTCAGTCTACCCCAGGGCAGCTGAGGCTATTGATCTACCTGGAAAATTGCCTGGAAAATACCTGGAAAATTGCCTGGAAGGACATGGTTAGATAATAGGGCTGTGGTCAACTTAAAGGTGCATTGTTTAACCTTTCTTCACTTTTCTCCATTGAGATGTTGTTGCTTTGTCTGGAATGTTCCACTGTCTGGCATTAAACCTTTCTATCTCCATGGAAACCAAACCGAACCAAGTTACAGCTCAGATCTGTGGAGAGGCGACGCCGCTCACAGTCAAAATGTTAGTTTTTCTGGGCATTTTTGAGCTATAAAACCACCTGTAATTGAATAGACGTGAGGTTGAGCTGTTTAATGTCACACTGTGGAACATTACAGAGAAACAACATCTCCATAGAAACAAAGAGGTGACAGAAACATAATACGTAAAGTTACATAGTGCAGCTTTAACAAAATGCCTGGAAAAAGGCTTAAAAAGAACTATTTTTGACAAATAATGACTATAATAATTAATAATAATTGCTACTTTTTCATTAATCAGTGTAATTATTTGTAGTGACTTTGCCTAAAAGTACTTTACACAGAGTTTTTGTGATTAAAATAGTAATTATTGAAAATTAAAATAAAAAATGATAGTGTTTTTATTTTGATTATCACAGTTATCTGGACTATACAGACTTTTAAAACGAAGAAAATGTCATTAGTGGATCAAAATTCTCATTCAAATCTCTAATTTCTCATCCATAATAGACTTAATTTATAAATATTCTCTATTTAAAAGTCTACAGTTGCCACATTTCACCTTTTATTTAGTTTGTAATGCATTTAAAAATAACTGTTTGACCTTGACCACTATAATTATTAGTCGCAGCCGTGTTCTGAATGCAGTTTTTACCTTCCCGTCACCTTTCCTCTTCTATATTTTCGTCTCACAGTGTCATGACGATCGCTCCCGGCCGGTTTTCCTCCTTAAATACAGCAGGATTAGGACACACTTCCGCACTCGGGCCCTCACCTGGGAGCAGCCGACCGGAGAAATGGGTTTGCGAGTGGGATACAGCGAATCCTGGAGGCGCTTCAAGCCACTAAGAGGTACTGAGCCAAAAAACACAAATGTAAAACGTACAGGCTGGAATAAAAAAGGAGAGACTGCACTGGTTTTACAATGAAGGAAAGAAAGAACAGGTAAGATTAAAGGTGCTATGTCACGCAAAATGGACTCTTGTGAGGTTTAAGTCGTGTTATAATGTTGTTTCCTCCTCAAAAACAGACCTGGACTGTGTTTTGTTAGAGCAATCATTTATTATCAGTCTGTCTAAATCCGTGAGTCATTCGTTCATGTGTTTTTCAGTATAAAAGCAAAAATAAGAAAACGAAAAATGAACAATTTTCTTCATTATTTGTCTCCAAAACCAAAATGAAAAAACATATAACGATTTGGTCTTTTCATTTTTTTATTTTGTGTTTAAATGAAAAATGGAAAAAACAGATAATGGACGTTTCCCGTTTTTGTGACTTAAACTGCGGAGCTGGACTAAAACAGGACTGAACCAGGACTAAAACAGGACTAAAACAGGACTGAACCAGGACTAAACAGGACTAAAACAGGACTGAACCAGGACTAAAACAGGACTAAAACAGGACTGAACCAGGACTAAAACAGGACTGAACAGGACTAAAACAGGACTGAACAGGACTAAAACAGGACTAAAACAGGACTGAACCAGGACTAAAACAGGACTAAAACAGGACTGAACCAGGACTAAAACAGGACTAAAACAGGACTGAACCAGGACTAAAACAGGACTAAAACAGGACTAAAACAGGACTAAAACAGGACTAAAACAGGACTAACAGGACTAAACCAGGACTAAAACCAGGACTAAAACAGGACTAAAACAGGACTGAACCAGGACTAAACAGGACTAAAACAGGACTAAAACAGGACTGAACCAGGACTAAAACAGGACTAAAACAGGACTAAAACAGGACTAAAACAGGACTAAAACAGGACTAAAACAGGACTAAACAGGCTCTAAACCAGAACTGAACCAAGACTAAACCAGGTCTCAGTCCCGGTCCCAGTCTCGTCCCGATTTCCTGATCACCCAACAGTCTACGTCTGGGCTAGTCCCGAGTCCGACAGTCCTGGTTCAGTCCTGGTTCAGTCCTGGTTCAGTCCTGGTTCAGTCCTGGTTCAGTCCTGGTTTAGGATTGAGACCGGGTACGGACCAGGCCCGAGACTGAGACCGGGACTGAAACTAGGACTGAGACTGGTTTAGAGCTGGTCTAGACCTGTTTTAGTCCTGGTTCAGTCCTGGTTCAGTCCAACATCGCAGTTTAAGTCACGTAAATGGGAAACGGCCGTTATCTGTTTTTTCCATTTTTCATTTAAACACAAAATCGAAAACTGAAAAAACAAAATCATTATCTGTTCATTTTGGTTTTGGAGACAAATGATGAAGAAAAGTGCTGTTTTTTTGTTTTCTTATTTTTGGTTTTATATTGAAAAACGAATGAACGAATGACACACAGATTGGTCTACATCTCCAAAGCTCAAAACGCTCTGTTCCTCTTTGTGATGTCATGAAGTGGTAGTTTTCAAGTTAACAGCTCCTTTTACCTTTTGTTCGGCAGAGATTTGCAATTCCAGGGCTGAGATGATCCAAGTGCTTCTAGTGAAGGTGTGTGGAGTTTAAAAACACAGTGAAGCACTTCTTGTATTACCGCATCATGACATCACAAGTTGGAACAGAGTGTTTTCAGTTTGAGAGAAGAACTCAGACTAAATGTGCAGATTTTGTGTGTTAAATGTGTGAATGAAACAAAACACAACTTCAGGTCTGTTAGTGATGAGGAAACACCAGGTAATAGCTCCGTTAAAGGTCCATCCATCCTGGATCGGGTCGCGGGGGCAGCAGCCTGAGCAGGTACTCCCAGACTTCCCCCACCCCAGACACTTCCTCCAGCTCCTCCAGGGGGACCCCGAGGTGTTCCCAGGCCAGCCCAGAGACACAGTCCCTCCAGTGTGTCCTGGTCTTCCCCGGGGACTCCTCCCACTGAGGAACAGATGCTCGAGCCTTCTCAGCTGCTCCTCTCGACGTGGAGGAGCAGCAACTCTACTCCGAGCTCCTCACCCTATCTCTAAGGGAGTGCTCAGACACCCTGCGGAGGAAACTCATTTCGACCGCGATCTCATCCTTTCGGTCATTACCAGAGCTCATGACCATAGGTGAGAGTCGGAACGTAAACTGACGGTAAATCGAGAACTTCGCCTTTCGACTCAGCTCCGTCTTCACCAAAATGGTCCGATACGGCGACCGCATCACTGCCGACGCTGCACCGATCCGCCTGTCGATCTCACGCTCCGTCCTCCCCTCACTCGTGAACCCGTGAACCCTTTAAAGCTGCACTGCGTAACTTTCTGCGGTGGAGGTTCTGCCGATTGCTTCCCTCTGTGTAATTGCTTTGCCCAGAATGTTCCGCAGTGTGGCATGAAATATATCTGTCCGTGGAAACAAGCGAGTGCAGAGGAAATCCCGCTTACGTGAATGGGCTTGCCTCTCCACAGATCTGACTAGTCAACGTAATAATTCAGTTCTGTAAATGAGTTTAACGCCGTACTGTCTGGGCAAAGTAATAACATCACCATGGAGACGAGACAAACGAGAGAAATTGAGTTATTAAATCCAAAAATATTTTCTCCATGGGTTTCTTTACTTGAGATTAAAGGGATACTGTGGAATATTTTGGGCAAAGCGATGGCATTTCCATGGAGACAAGAAGCAGACAAACCAGAAAAATTACTTACTGTACCTTTAACTGAGAAAAAAAGTAATTAAACACACTTAAATCTATATTTTCCTGGATAATTTTTACGTTGGTTTGGCTCTGGATGCACCTGTCTCTGTCTTTAGTCTCTTCTGGCTCACCTGCGAAATACAGAAGGTCGCCCCCCGGTGGGCACTTTGTTCGCTCCATAATTGCCATAATCATCTCTTCACTGCGTCGTTAGGGTGTAATTTTACCACATGACAGGTCCGTATACTTTTCAGCG